CAAGATGACTGTGGAGTTGAGCTGCTACAACTTTTTCCAGAACTTTGGATAGGAATGGCAAGTTTGAAATGGGTCTGTAGTGGGCCAGGATTTCAGGGTCGAGTGAGGGCTTTTTCAGATGGGGGCGAATGACTGCAGTTTTGAGAGCTGGAGGAACCTGACCGGAGTGTAATGACTGGTTAATTATTGCTGTGATTAATATATATATATATATATATATATATATATATATATGTATATATATATGTATATGTATGTTCTCTAGTAATATTTACTGTATATCTTCCGTAAATAGTTGTAGTAGTTAATTTTAAAATCTAATGTAGTTAAAAATGTTTTTAATAGTTTATTGTAAATACTTGTTTCTCTAAAAATAAACTGATGTCAATGAAAAAAGTTCTAAATTTACTTAAATTGTAAAGAAGTGATGAAACAGATCATGTAAAAAGGTTAAAAGACTTTAAGAACACACTGACAACAATAAATTTATAAACAATTTAATAATTCAATTTAACAATAACAGCAACACAGAACCTCAACTTGTAAAAAAAAAACACCAAAAAAATGAATGTCTGTCCACCATCCTCTCCAATAAATGAAATAATCTGTCCATCCTTTCCCGCAAATAGGACAGGTGGGGCAACAGAGGGCCTCTGTCCTAATTCTTCATCCATGAAAGATGGGATCCTTTTTGCAGCTTCAGCGTAAGTAATTCAGAGCTCAAATTTCATTTTTTTATTTCCTCAGACCTTTTGCTTGCAGTTACAGCATTTTATTTGAGCTTTGTTTCCACATTTACCATATTCGTGTTCTCCTGCACACCTTCCACGCCTCTGTTTCCCTTTACAAACTGCTGCTATGTGTCCGAATTTTTGGCATTTAAAGCATCTCAATGGTGGAGGACTGTAGATTTTGACATTATAGCTGATGTAACCAATGAATACTTTACTGGGTAATTGTTGTTCCTCGAATTTAATTAGCACCGATAAACTGTCAGATCTTTCCCCGTTTCTTGTCGTTTTTAATCGTTTTACTTCTTATACTTTTGCACCACTTATGTTTTCTAGAATTTCTTTGTCAGAAACTCTTAGAAGAACTCCTCCAATGACTCTCCTGCTGATCTTTTTGTTCTCCATTAAGCTGCTCTGAACTCTCATCCCATCAGTTTTGGTCTCCACTGTACAGGATTCTGGCTCCTCTGACTTCTCCAACAAGTTTATTGATGGTTTTTGTTAAGTGAACCGGATTCCAATTTGTAAAAGGGTCTGCCTGATTAACGACTTTGAATATGACTTTGTATTAATTTTGTTGTGCTGTGGAACGTATGGATTGATCATCACTGGATTGTTGTGAACTGGACTCCCCTTTAACGTTTGAAATTATGGAATAATTCAATGATTTGTGACAAAGTTCAAATTTTAATCTAAAATGTAAATTTGCTGGAGCAAGGAAACCTCTAAAACCTGCAGGACAGGGGGCCTTGAGGACCGAGTTTGGGGATGCCTGCACTAATGTATTCCAAGTGGCCGAGAAGTCCCTAAAGATATTCTTAAGGCTAT